TTCCAGTTTGCCTTTCTTTTGTGTTCCAGCCACAGCGGCCAACGGAATCTCCTGTTCTCCTATCTCCTGTCTGTCGAGACCAGCCCCTCAAACTTACACCAGTCCACTGGGACTCCAGATGCCTGTCTCTTAGCCAGCCCTCCAGACGTCCATCTCTCAGCCAGCCCTCTAGACTCAGCCGGCCCTCCAGATGCTCGTCACTCAGCCGATCCTTCTCACGGTCCTGAGTCAGCCGGCCCTCCTGATGGTCCTGAGTCATCCGGCCATACAGATTGTCACCAGTCCATTCACTATCTTCTATCATAGTCACTAGTCCATTCACTATCCTCAGTCACCAGCCCAGTCCACTGGGAACTACATTTCCCAGCATCCCTTCTGGTCAACACCTGCACTCAGTCAGCCATCACCACACCTGCCATAGATGATCTCATCAAGCCCTGTATAAGAGCAGTTACTCTCCACTTCTTCCTTGTCTGGTCTGGTCTCTCCACGTATGAGGACTTACCTGGCTACTTCCTTGGATACTTACCTGTTTCCAGTCAGTCTTCAGTTCTAGTCTTCACTAAGCCTTCACCGCACACCTGCAACAAACAAAGAACAGTTTATGCTCACGCGAAGTGCTATCTATCTTCATTGAATTATATACTCACCTGTTTACTATGCTGCTTCTCTGAAATACCTGCAAATAACGATTTTGTTGTTGACATTACCTTTGAGTCTTCTCCTTCTGTACTTGTGACAATGTGCCCAAACGCTCAGAATGAGCTTGTATTGAACCCGGAATATCAAATGTAACATGCCATTTTGCATTCCAATAAAACAATCTCCATAGTGGGCCAACTTTTCAGCTCTCAACCCTAAAGGGAGATAACACTGAAAATCTAATTGTTCCCACCATTTCCTATAAAAGGATAAATGTTCTGGGGAATGCATTCCACCAGCAGCTGAGATGCTAAGTCTTTTTCTAAAACAGTTGGATGAAGTCAACACAGCCCTGGACCTAATACATGCAATTTAGAGCCTTTTCCAGATACATGCAAAGAGATCCATCTCAAAGACGGAAGAGATGCCCATTTTGAATTAACACCAGTGAGGCAGAGGGCCTGGGAAAATGGATGATGACCTCTGAAACCACTTTAAAGGCAGCTTGATTACAATATTTATCCAAGTGACTTACTATAAACTAATAACTAGAACAACAGAAATAGTAACAGAAAACGTCAGTAACGCTCCAGTCCATTGGTCTCCCCTCTGAAGTGTCAGAAATCAGGAACAGACAGAACCCTTCTGGAAAATTTGAGTGATTCCCAAAGTCAAGACCATGAAAAACCCACTTAACTCAACTAACTGACCTTTGAAAACTGACCCCAAAGGTCACTGCACACAAGACTGGCAGCTAAAATGACAGTTTTCAGAAAGCCAAAGGATTTATTCATCTTTTCTGAGCAATGAGGGTAGAAAGGAATTGGAACTTTGGAAGAGTAAAATAGCAAGATAAAATAAATGCTAATGCCACTGTTTAATATATAAGAGTGTTTCTTTTTCCAATCTTTTCACCAGGTCTACATTTTATTTTTTCAAGAGATTTGAATGTACTACAACCTGCCTGCTTACATGAAGGTGCATGACAGGACGAGGATCAGTTTTCTAAGTGGAAATTGAACATTAGTGTCAAAGCACAAGAGGACACTTTGATGGACAACAAAACTTGCGAGGGTGACATATTCCAGCAGTCTTGCCTCATGGGATGCATTTATGTTGCTCCGTGCATTGGCTAAACTAAACCTCCTGTATCTGATGGTCAGTGTTCAAACTATACCGTGGACTTTGGGGGAGCACACTTGTTTTTGTTTTTATAACGGGGGGATTGGGGTTCATGCGCGTGCCTCAAAAGAGGGCTTACAATGACTTACAAAGATACATAACAGCTACAAGTGTATGCACTACTTGCTTTATGCAAGCGCTATATAGGATAAATCACTATACATGATTTACCCTATTATACTTTATCGACACGAATTGATAGGTGAAACAACAAACAGCCACCCACAATAGTCTAGAAACAAAGCATCAGGCTGTCTTTGAGTTCACATAAAAAAAAACGGTTAAAGTTACTCGTCGTCAGGCTACAGAAGAATACCATAATTCAATTAGGCCTAAGACATTGAGAGTCACGCAGACCTAAAACACCCCAGCCACAACACATAATTGCGAATAACATGCCTTACCTTAACACAGAATCGAACACAGAGTCCAACGTTTATATTTTTTATAACATGTACTAAACATGAGTGGAATTTGCACCGCAGCGCCCCCACACCTTGATGCTCATTACAAGAATAGCATGTATAGTTATCTTTATTGAAGTGAATTAGGTTTAAATCGCCGTCATGCATGAATGAATGATATTTTTGCAATTTTACACAAAATAATCTACGATGATCACATTACACAAAACTGAAATTGCACGTCAAAATAACACATTGTCAATATTTTTTGAGGCCCCCCAAAATTTCACAAATCACGTTTTCAGACGGAGTGTCTTAATAAGGGGAGGCGAGCTCCCCCTAGCTCCCCCATAGTTCGCACCCTGCGATAGTTCATTCTCCTTAAAGTACACATGAAATCAAAATTGACTATATTTGTTTTGTTAGCACACACTGCTATTTTTGTTGTGAACAATTAATCCGTGCAAGTCAATCCACAAAAAAAATTATAATTGTTTGCCTTCATAATCTTTCATCCAAATCTGAAAATGCACCTCCCTTCTGAAATGACGGACTTTGTCTGATGACGTCAGTTTGGCAGCTTGGGCTTGAGCATAACCTCCTTAAAAACACCCCTCCAAATCTGCCTCCATTTCTGAATGAAACGCCTACTTTACTACATCCAATCAGTTCACAGTAGAAAAAACAAGCCACACCCTCTGTTTTTCTCATTCAATATTCCATTTCTCTTGGAAGTGCTTCACAATACGGAATTAAAGTCGGTCGCAACTTCCGGAATAGTTAAAGGAATAGTTCACCCAAAAATGAAAATTTGCTGAAACTCACCCTCTGACCATCCAAGCAGTAGATGAGTTTGTTTCTTCATCAGAACAGATTTGGAGAAATTTAGCATTACATCACTTGCTCACCAATGGATCCTCTGCAGTGAATGGGAGAATGAGAGTCCAAACAGCTGATAAAAACATCTCAATAATCCACAAGTAATCCACACAACTCCAGTCCATCAATTAACATCTTGTAAACTGATAAGGTGTGTGTTAGTAAGAAAAAATATAATCATTAAAACATTTTAATAACAGTCCATAATAATGCTTCCTCCAGTGAAAAAGTCCATCCCCTGTTTTCCTCTCACATCAAAATACATTGACATATTTGCTTAGAATGGTTTTGGCTTGTAAATGCTGCTTGATCTGTGCATATTTCTCTCCTGATTTAGACGAGGCAACTTTTTCAATGGAGAAAACTGTTATGGATAGAGGACTTGTATTTTATGTGAAATCAAATTAAAAACAATACATTAGTTTATTATAAAACACACATTTGATGCTGTTAAAAACTTAACCACTGATCTCTAGTCGTGTCCTCTTTTGGAAGACCAAACAAAGTAGTTTCACTTTCACAACAAAAAAACACAGCGGCCTAGCGTGAGCGGAAGCCCCGGCTTAGCATGAGCTGAGGTCGGGCTAGAGTGAGCAGAGGCGGCGGGGTCGAGAACGGCGCGGCCGGCGGATCCGACGAAGGAGCGGCAAGCACATGCGGCGACCCAGTCGTGTCCATTTTTGGAAGGCCAAACAAAGTAGTTTCGCTTTCACAACGAAAAACACAGCGGCCTAGCGTGAGGGGAAGCCCCGGCTTAGCGTGCGCTGAGGCCGGGATAGAGTGAGCTGAGTCGGTGGGGTCGAGAACGGCATGCCCGGCGGATGCGACGAAGGAGCGGCAAGCACATGCGACGACCCCGGGCTGGACTCTGCTTCGTCCACGGTGAAAGCCGATCCGGCGATCCACAGCACTAAGTTGATGTATTGCCTCAGCGACCAGCACAGATTAGCACCAGCCATGACGAAGCAGATATCATCCTCTTTTGGAGGACCAAACAAAGTAATTTCGCTTTCACAATGAAGCACACAGCGTCTTCACGTCATGGCGGCAGCGGCAACAATACTACAGTGAGAATAAAAGTTACGCCTTCTTTCTTTGTGTGAACATTTGGGCGGCGTTATGCAAATCTTCCCACATAGTGAGGTAGACATGTGGGGGCGTGTTAGAACGAGCCGTTTTAGGTAGGCGTGGCTGACTCTTACCTTTTATAAAGAATATCTCTTTGGATTTGAGACTTTAGTCTTTGCAACTTTACAGATCTTCTTTATGCACCAAGAGCTTGTAACACTCCAAAGAGAAAGGAAAAATTGAAATCGCATCATATGACCCCTTTAATTGATGGACTGGACTCATGTGGATTACTTTTGGATTATTGAAATGCTTTTATCAGCTGTTTAGATCCTTATTCTGATGGCGCCATATACTGGAGATGACTCATTGGTGAGCAAGTGATGTAATGCTAAATTTCCCCAAATCTGTTCTGATGAATTAACAAACTCATCTACATCTTGGATGGCCTGAGGGTGAGTACATTTTCAACAATTTCTTATTTTTGGGTGAACTATTCTTTTAATTCCAGTGTCCTGACATAATTTTGTCAGGTGAATTCTTTTCATTCTTGGTCAGCACATATAAGTGTAGCATATGGATTGTGAAAGATTGGTTTGACATCATCACCCATGAGGCTCTGACTAGACAAGGGAAGCGCTTTATCTTATCTAGCAGTGCATATAAGAACAGTGTATATCATATACCATTTCTAAGAGTGGGACATTTCTCTCTACAACAAACACTGTTCTACAGGGATTATGTAACACACAAATTTCACACTATACAGACACATAAAACATGGGAAATAACACTGAGTGATTCAACTGAATGATGATTTCCTACCAGATAGTCCATTGGCAGACTGCAGGTGGTCTGTCAGGCTGGGCTGATCTGCTGCACTCCTCCATAAGAAGCCAAGCCATGCAATGTACATACAATGTCTGGCAAATCTCAAAAGATCCATGCTAAACTTCAAATAGAAAGAAAACATTTAAAAGAAAAGTACTAATCTGGCAATGAGAAATAACGAAACATTCACTCACATATATACTATTATGACATAAACACATTGTTGAGTATTACAGCTAATCTTTTTAACATTCATTAATGTCACACCTGGTATTTATTTGTACTTGCTAGTAAGTAATCCAAAAGCAAATGGTTTCAGTTTCAGTAGTGTGTATGCCAGTACTTCTTCAAATAGTGATTTGTCACTAATAATTACTATTTTGCTACTAATCACTATCCCAGCAGTGACAATTTACTTTTCTACTGAATAGAATCTACTAGTTCTACTAGTAGAAGTAGACCCTAGTATCTATTTATGGGTGTCCCAGGTATTACTGGTAAAATTTCTTATTATCACTAGTTACAGTTGTTTTAGTTAAAATCAGTTTAATTAAAAATCCAACTATTAAACCTAAGTTAGGACTACTAGGCTACTATCTATTCCATGAATGCCTGTAAAACTAAAATACATACTAGTGCCTTTTTGAATGGTTACAAATAACTAAGGAATACATACTAATACCAAACTGGTAAACTGGAACAACCAGCAATATTTTTTTATAGATGAGCCTACACTATTGGAATATATAATGTCTAGTGAAAAGTCACTAGCTAAAATGAAAAAGATCCTAGTCACTGCTGGATTATGTATTAATAATAGGCTAAGAATAAAAATAAGTGCAAGTATCATAAACCTTAGAAACGTATTTGTTTAATGTGTTAACGCATGATGCCATATCCATATGGGTTACAGTTGAAATGTATACGTACATGAAAAAAGCCTCCAGATGTAGCTGCACGCTTCAGTCCAGTGACGCGTGGCATTTCACAATCGTTTTGATATATTTACATATTTGGCAAACTTACTCAGATGCCGGATAATTAAATTCATCTTACTATAAAAATAGAGGCAAATATGCCTCTTTTGATGGTATGATCAAGTTCCGCCTTTGTGTATATTGCCACTTGGCTCATACGAAAGGACATGAGCATTGAGCAAAAGTAGCACGAGCTCTGTTTTACAGTTGTCGTCATGATGCAAATGCACATGTAGCCTCAGACTCATAATGTTATTGATTTGAAAATATCAGATTACCTGTTAAAATCCGAAGGTTGCAAATTGCTGGAGTCGCTCTTGACAAATCAGACGTAACACTTGCATTTGATCGGACTGAGGTCCATTAGGCAACCGATAGCTGTAGGATGTTATTCTAATCAGCGGGATGTTGTTTTAACTCCGCTGCAAAAATGTTGTCATTTTAATGGTCCAACAATTTGAAACAATACTTCAAAGATGTTCGACATGCATTCCCCACATCCCCCATAGTCTGCGCAATAACCCGCCCATGTCAAGAACATAAAACATTGTCAAAAATATGTGTCCATCACTGGTGTTCATACGCGTTTCGAACAAAACGTCCAAAATGAAAAAGAGTTGTTTTCCAAATGTATGACACAAAAGTATGTCCCGGATTTATCAATTGAATTTCGAGGCTCATTAGGCCTACATGGTTTTAAAGTCCTCTTTTCTGAGTTATCCAAAACCCCTCGGTGTTGGAGGGTGTCTAATGGTAAAGCAAATAGTTTCTTGGGATATAAATTCGCAGGGTTTGAGGTTTGTTCTCTAAAAGCAGACACAGCCATCTAGTGGCATGAGACTCAACCATGCAGATGTTCGACATGCATTCCCCACATCCCCCATAGTCTGCGCAATAACCCGCCCATGTCAAGAACATAAAACATTGTCAAAAATATGTGTCCATCACTGGTGTTCATACGCGTTTCGAACAAAACGTCCAAAATGAAAAAGAGTTGTTTTCCAAATGTATGACACAAAAGTATGTCCCGGATTTATCATTTGAATTTCGAGGCTCATTAGGCCTACATGGTTTTAAAGTCCTCTTTTCTGAGTTATCCAAAACCCCTCGGTGTTGGAGGGTGTCTAATGGTAAAGCAAATCGTTTCTTGGGATATAAATTCGCAGGGTTTGAGGTTTGTTCTCTAAAAGCAGACACAGCCATCTAGTGGCATGATACTCAACCATGCAGCTAAAAGTGAAGAAACCCCTCCCAGTTTCGTCTGTTTATCAGTACATAGTTTGATGTGTCAAAAATATGTTGATGCATCAATTTAGCACAGTACTGAGATGATCTCTATCTATCTATCTATCTATCTATCTATCTATCTATCTATCTATCTGTCTGTCTGTTTGAAAGCATTTAACATTGCATATTCCATATAAATGGTCAAAGGATAGTTTCAATCAAATCTATGTAGTGTGTGTGTGTGTGTGTGTGTGTGTGTGTGTGTGTGTGTGTGTGTGTGTGTGTGTGTGTGTGTGTGTGTGTGTCTTGTGCAGCTGATCTCTGAGGAATGTCTGTTGACATTCAAGTCTCTGTTCTGGCCATTTCAGCAATATACAAACTCCAATACTGAGTTACTGAGTTGCTCTCTATCTATCTATCTATCTATCTATCTATCTATCTATCTATCTATCTATCTATCTATCTATCTATCTATCTGTCTGTCTGTCTGTTTGAAAGCATTTAACATTGCATATTCCATATAAATGGTCAAAGGATAGTTTCAATCAAATCAAAATTGCCAGTAGACTACTCATGCCTATCTTTCAATTTTTTTTCATACAGCAAAAACAACGTTTACATAGGCTACAACCCAAAGCCAATGTGTTTTTATTGATTTATTCCTTTTATTTATTAAAACGTATCACAGCCACATTCCCCATTCACTTTCATGGTATGAGAGAGCAACCTGAACATTATTGTCATAAACTTCTATTTTTGTTCTCCACAAAAGAAGAAAGCTGTAACGATATGGGCCAATAAATGAACACAGATTTGATTCATTTAAGGATTTATATGAGTGGATTTGGTGGAAAATATGTTAAGCATGTTATTTATTTTTGCAAGGGTGAGCAAAACCCACGGCTCTGTGAATGATTCATGTCGATATTCTCACGGCTCCTCTTTAGTTCAGGTAGTTTCAACATGAGTTTGCGGTTGTGATGATACGGGATTTCCCTGTGATGCATTTGTTCTACATTGCGAACTAACAACACGACGCGACAAAACCAGAACGAAGCAGACAGTGCCCGCGAGCGAACTTGGTTAAAGTGGGAGCGCGCGCTTGCAGTGTAGACAGACTGTCACGCCCTCTTAAACATTGGCATACACATTTACTTCGGTAAACTTCCTCAAACATGCAGTTAAGCCATTAACTTCCTCTCTGAGGGGTGAACTCACTCACTCACATCCTACAGACTTCAACTAACTTCCACAGCAGTGGGATTACGGTCCTCAGGAGCATCTGATATGTTTGGTAAGATAGCCTGTGTTGTTTAATGATTGTATGTAGTCCTGTGATAGCTTACAGTTTGTTAGATAACATTTATCGGCGTTTATTCATTTCTGACTTGGTTTGTTGAAGAGAAGTTGCGCAGAGGCAGATTTATCATTTGGAACGTGTGAGATTTTTCTAAATTTGCTGTAATGTTCTCGCTTTCGACCGCGGCTTGATGAATAAGCAGCGGTTTGAGTTTTTAAACCAGAGAGCAGGAAAAGGGACCACTCCCATAGAATAACACACATCCACTGTAAAGCACCGTAGGCTAATTAAGAGTAGCCTATTGACAGGTACCGTTGTGTATGAATACATGTCAAATTGCTGTCTTTAACTCATTTCATAATGGTGCCAAACTTATAGTTAGTTGCAACCTCCAGTGCCGTGCCCACGGCACTTTTGACCACTTTGAATTTAAGTAGGCTACTGACGAGAAACTCTGAAAACACATAAAGCAGAGTACAAAGGACGAATTACTGTGACAAATGATATGTATGGAAACAAAAATGAATTTTAATGTACATTAGGCATATGATCACAAAACGTAACCTCTTGGTGTTAAGACCTCTCTGTGAAATTTTGGTTGTGCATGTTGAAACATAGGCTAGTACAGTTCTTTGAGAAAATGAATGGGAAATTATGCAAATTTGGAGAAAAAGAAAAAAAGGCAGTTGGGTTTTCCAGAGGGAATGAGGAACTGAGAAACATCCTCATTTTTAAAATCTAACAGAGCCATGCAGAAGTTGGGATACTTATCTATTTCCGAACCAAATAGCAACTTCCATTTGAGAAGTGATATTTGCTTTAGCATATTTTACTCACCTACCACGTTCATTCTAGTTAGCCAAGATAATAGCACATCTGTGAGAGGATCTTCTAGACTCAGAGCCGTTATTGTTCACTTCCTAATGTGAAAATACCATTACAAAACAGCTGAATATCTTGAATGACACAAGGGCTTACCGAGGCACACTTTTCTGCGGTGAGTCACTGGAAAGATGGTGACTTCTTGTGTCATAAATTGTAGCGACAGTTCCCATGATCAGTTTTTTTCCCTCATTTTCACCTGCTTGAGTGGAGGAAATACAGAGGAATTAGTGTGCAATTACAATCCATCTGACAATAACGCTTTAGTTTCAGTTTCATGGCGAAAGAAATTCTACATTCAGGATAGTGTGTAAGGAATGAATAAAAGTAACTGACCACTTCTAGTTTTGATTTCTTTCTGCATACTTTGCAATCTAGTGTAAGTTCTCCTTTTGCTGCTAAAAACTAGAAGCCATTAGAACTGTCTGTTCCTCTGTTGGCTTATACATGATTTGCATCATTTGGCTCAGTGATAAAAATCAAAAATGATATTTAAACAAGGGCCATAACCACTCTAGACAATATGCGGATTATTCATCAACCATCACGGGTTTTCCGATGGTTGAATCTTAAAATATTATATTTAGTCGCCCAATCCTGAATATCTACAACTAATTAAAAACTACTCCAAGTATGAGTTGAACACAGTAAAACTACAATGCCGCAGTAAAAAATGTCAATGCAATTCTAATCTATAGCACTTGTTTTTATCTATTTTATATAACACTGAGCAGTTCTGCTGCTAAACATCAGTATTGTGATATGACAAAGCTGTGCTGGAAGTGACAGGACAGACTCCACCCAGACTGAGCTGTCAGTGCTGTTTCTTTGAGCTCTTGGTTCACTAACCACATTGGCTAACGCCTTGCAGAGGAGGGCAGGGCTCGGAGTATTTCTCTCTCTGAGCGTCTCTGGAGATTGGGCAGAGTCCGTCTCACTCCTTTCTCCTGGGGTCAAACATCTGCCAGACTCTTGGAATAAGTGAAAAAGAAAGAGCGAACTGAGCTTTTCTGGTCATAACTCCGCAGTTCTCAGTTTCTTGTTGATGTGCGAGAATACAAATCGTTCTCACATTTGCTACAAGCAAGATAGCTTGAATATCATGATCAAACTATTGAGGAAACAAAATTTTTAATTATTAACAGACAATAACACAAAAAGAATCCCAAATAGCTGTTGAAAGATTTTAGAAAGTGCTTTGCTGACAGTACTTTATACTGGCCTCTGATGTAACGGCGAAAGCTGGTCAGTAAATCTACTTTCCAGCTCCATTTCCACAAAAACAGCAATTAGCCATGCTGACTTTGCACAGACTTTCACAAATGTTGAATAATTACAGATAAGTGTATTGAATCTGTCCCCTACTGACATGAAATGTCTTCAGCATTAACTGAAACATAATCAGACCTGTTTTGACATTTTCCAGCGTACATGTTTTAGAAAATCTCAATCTGCGTGTCATATTTCCTTCAGAGAGCTATTTGAGTCATTTGTATGACCCAAATTGGTCATATTTCCTTTGAATATGTCCCAAATGGAAAGTGAAAAGAAAGGAGGACAAAAGCTCCTGTTTTTTGCATTTCTGAGGAGGTGAATAATCCCCTAATTTACAAGTGGGAATTTATTTGTGTGATGATATATACACAGCTTATCAATAAAACTGCAAAGGGAAGTAGAAGGAACTGGGGGAGACTGACTGTGTATATTCAAAACATTGTTTTATAACAGCCCAAATGTTAACCTTGCTAATCTTTTTCTTTTGTCCCTCTCTTTGCATGTGGTGAAATCTTTCTTTCCAATGATCCATTCATACTGTACATCCTCAACTTTTAAAATATGTATGTGGACTGTGTGCACTGATATTAAATTAAGTTAAATTATGACTGAAGCCCAATATGTTGGTAATTACAATGTATAGTATAGTATTTTGCCTATATAAATTACAAATAAAACACTTAAAACTAAAATCATTGTTTTAAATGCGATTTTAAGTGAATTTAAGGCCTGATCACACCAAGACTAATGTGTGGTGTAAAAATTTTGTGTGATTTTAATGTGAATAAACAAACAGATATATGTTAAAAAATACATACATACATAAATGACAAAAGCACTCAAGAAAATTACTAAAACTTTAAAATTAAAATGGAAAATACAGTCCCTCTCTTTGCATGTGGTGAAATCTTTCTTTCCAATGATCCATTCATACTGTACATCCTCAACTTTTAAAATATGTATGTGGACTGTGTGCACTGATATTAAATTAAGTTAAATTATGACTGAAGCCCAATATGTTGGTAATTACAATGTATAGTATAGTATTTTGCCTATATAAATTACAAATAAAACACTTAAAACTAAAATCATTGTTTTAAATGCGATTTTAAGTGAATTTAAGGCCTGATCACACCAAGACTAATGTGTGGTGTAAAAATTTTGTGTGATTTTAATGTGAATAAACAAACATATATATGTTAAAAAATACATACATACATAAATGACAAAAGCACTCAAGAAAATTACTAAAACTTTAAAATTAAAATGGAAAATACAAAAATATCAAAATATTAAAAATTATAATAGTATCTCAATTATACTACATTAACACTGTACAAAAGCTGCTCTCGTTTCTCTGTATCTGGTGTTATCTGACACCATATCGAATACAAAAGTCTGAATGGCTATTTAAAAACATGCAAATACTGTTTTACTTCCTTTTTTCGGACCAAATTTTTGTGTAATATTAAGTTAGAGTTTTGCTAAAGATGATATTAAACAATGTTATTTAATTATTTGTGTTTTTGAAGATTAATTCTTAAATTAACCATCCAATATCGGCCAATACCGATAAATGTAAAAAAATAAATAAAATAAAAAACCTCTAATATCAGCTTGATAAATAAGCATCAATATGTTATTGATATATTGTGCATTTATCTATTCTTTTATTCATCTAAACACTGTTGCCATGTTGTCCTCTAACACAGAGCAATGTCTCTTTCTCTGCAGACTGCTGAAGTCGAGTCACTTTTCTATCATGCAGAGCATCAAGTGTGTGGTGGTGGGGGACGGAGCAGTCGGAAAAACCTGCCTGCTCATCTCGTACACGACCGGTGCGTTCCCCAAAGAGTATATTCCCACCGTGTTCGACAACTACAGTTCCCAAGTCACTGTGGACGGCCGCACCATCAGCCTCAATCTGTGGGACACAGCAGGCCAGGAGGAGTACGACCGCCTTCGCACGCTGTCCTACCCTCAGACCAATGTCTTCATCATCTGCTTCTCCATCTCCAGCCCCCCGTCCTATGAGAACATCAAGCACAAGTGGCACCCAGAGGTGACGCACCACTGTCCCAGCGTGCCCATCCTGCTGGTGGGGACCAAGAGTGATCTTCGCAACGATGCGGATGTGCTGAAGAAGCTGAAGGAGCAGAACCAGGCACCCATCACACACCAGCAGGGCCAGGCTCTGGCTCGCCAGATCCACGCCGTCAAGTACCTGGAGTGTTCGGCACTCAGCCAGGACGGCATCAAGGACGTGTTTGCAGACGCAGTGCGTGCCTTCCTCAGTCCTCAACCTGTGGCTCAAAAGAAGCCCTGTATACTCCTCTGAAAATAGAGAGAGGATAGAGGCATTTTAATTGAATTACACACAGGAATGCATAGAAATGGTGGGAATGTTATGGAATGTTTGAAAAAAAAAAGGTTTTCAGTAAGCAATGACCAAGAAACACAGCCTTAATCTGTGAAATTAGAGAAATACAAGATTAAGTAAAATATTAGGATTTTACACTGTACTGAGATCCCTACTGATGAGTTTTAAGGGGAGAGAGTGTGTTTTGGGATTTCATAAGACCACTAAACATTTTGATACCATCCTCTGGTATCTTAAGAACACATAAAACAGAGGAAGTAATCCCTTAAACACATTTCAGAGAAAAGGGGTTCTAGTTCCTTTTTAGTGTTTAGAAACTTATTAATAATATTGGTTAATGAAGTTTTTTCTTTTTGTATTTACTTTAAAGGAGTGTTCGGCACTCAGCCAGGACGGCATCAAGGACGTGTTTGCAGACGCAGTGCGTGCCTTCCTCAGTCCTCAACCTGTGGCTCAAAAGAAGCCCTGTATACTCCTCTGAAAATAGAGAGAGGATAGAGGCATTTTAATTGAATTACACACAGGAATGCATAGAAATGGTGGGAATGTTATGGAATGTTTGAAAAAAAATAGGTTTTCAGTAAGCAATGACCAAGAAACACAGCCTTAATCTGTGAAATTAGAGAAATACAAGATTAAGTAAAATATTAAGATTTTACACTGTACTGAGATCCCTACTTATGAGTTTTAAGGGGAGAGAGTGTGTTTTGGGATTTCATAAGACCACTAAACATTTTGATACCATCCTCTGGTATCGTAAGAACACATAAAACAGAGGAAGTAATCCCTTAAACACATTTCAGAGAAAAGGGGTTCTAGTTCCTTTTTAGTGTTTAGAAACTTATTAATAATATTGGTTAATGAAGTTTTTTCTTTTTGTATTTACTTTAAAAAAAAAAAAACTATCTGAGAATTTATTAGTACTAATATCATAATGCCCAAGGCATTTGTTCTGTGATTGGGGTGTCCTTGAGGACAGGCCTTTTTGTGTAATTAGTGACTATCTATAAATATTGTAGTTCACACAGAATGTGTTCTTACGTTCAAGACACAGCTGAATGTAAAGGAAACAAAGCAGGGTTTTGAGATGCTAAAAGTTTAAAACATTTTTAAATGCACTGCTTGTGTGAAAATTTGTAACAACAGAAACAATATAGTGCAACCGTGCCTTCCTATTTTTATTAGAAGCCTTACTTCTGAAAGTTTTTTTTTTTTTTGCATTGATTTTTTCCCCTCATAAGGATTAATCTGTGAAATTAGAGAAATACAAGATTAAGTAAAATATTAAGATTTTACACTGTACTGAGATCCCTACTTATGAGTTTTAAGGGGAGAGAGTGTGTTTTGGGATTTCATAAGACCACTAAACATTTTGATACCATCCTCTGGTATCGTAAGAACACATAAAACAGAGGAAGTAATCCCTTAAACACATTTCAGAGAAAAGGGGTTCTAGTTCCTTTTTAGTGTTTAGAAACTTATTAATAATATTGGTTAATGAAGTTTTTTCTTTTTGTATTTACTTTAAAAAAAAAAAAACTATCTGAGAATTTATTAGTACTAATATCATAATGCCCAAGGCATTTGTTCTGTGATTGGGGTGTCCTTGAGGACAGGCCTTTTTGTGTAATTAGTGACTATCTATAAATATTGTAGTTCACACAGAATGTGTTCTTACGTTCAAGACACAGCTGAATGTAAAGGAAACAAAGCAGGGTTTTGAGATGCTAAAAGTTTAAAACATTTTTAAATGCACTGCTTGTGTGAAAATTTGTAACAACAGAAACAATATAGTGCAACCGTGCCTTCCCATTTTTATTAGAAGCCTTACTTCTGAAAGGTTTTTTTTTTTTTGCATTGATTTTTTCCCCTCATAAGGATAAAAAAGTCTTAATTTAAGAGGTGAATGTGAGGTGAGGTGAATCGCAACAGTACAAATTTTGATTTGAAGCAAAAAAGTATTTGAAAATTTGAAAAACAAAAAAGGTGCAAGAATATGTACATATTCACTTTAATGGGGTGAAGAACTACAATCCCATGAAGCATTGTAAATGAAAATTGAATTCAAAATTTTCATATTTAATTAAAATTTAAATATGCTGATTGTGTATATACGTAGAAACAACATTTTATGTTTATTGCAAAATATGCATATATGTACAAATATTTAAATAGTTTGAGAGTCATGTCATTTGCAGTGCTTTATGGGAGTGGGCAGTCACTGAGAGTGTGATTTGCATGTTGTAATTCTCTCATTGGTGGATTTTGCTGCAGAATCATGGGTAACGTAGTTTTTCACCAGGAATTCTACCTTTGAACATGATTATTTGAAAAATAAGTAAAAATAATATGGGCTGATGGTTTTAACTGAAGCATACCCCATTGATTAGCAACCTCATAGCTCACAGCAGGTTTATCTTTAAAGGTTTAGAAGTTATAATTCAAAATCAATTCCCTTATGCAGAAAATGAATGGGATTTTTACTTCCGGAACCCCACTGCCACACTCTGTTCAAAAGCAGCGTGTGAACCGGCCCCTTAGACATACCTGATCTTATAGGTGTGATGAGGGTATTGTTGCCTGGCAGCTTGTCGGCTTTACTTCCTTGTGGTGGGGAAACTGTCTGACAGTCCCTTCAGGAAACAGAGGTCCCAGCATGCACTGCGCCACATTCAACTCTTCATTCTTTTCTTCCTCAGCACTCCAGGGTGGGGCTTCAGAACCTTTTTTAGAAAACAAGGCACTTTCTTCACTTGATGACTGATTTGGCTACAGCTTGTGTCACAGTCCTAAATGAGCCATTAACGTAAAGGAAGGAAGCTTTCAATTGGCCAAAGATTCAGGTCAGCTTGTAGATTTCAAGGCTCAGGGATTCATCAACAAGCTGAAAATGAGAATCATTTTACCTTCATTTGTTTGGTTCAGATGAATGTATGACTTTACAGTGCCTTCCTATATACAGGCTATTATATGTAAGCAGAGAGATTGTTGTATGTCAAATTTCGAAGCCATTAACTATAATTTTCTGTAATGTTTAGCCTATTAGCATTAGATCAAATGTTAGCTGAAAGTCAAGAGGATCATATTGTGGCTCATTAAGGACAGAATACATTCACAGCAAATAGAGTAACACTTCATTGTGCATGAATCATGAATTTTAAGTCACGTGTTGATGAGTCTATGTGTGCTTTTGGCCATAAATGAATGAGAAATCCCAAAGTCGTCATGTGAAAGTAATACTTTTCAAGCATTGACTAATTCAGCTGAGAGTTGTGTGGATGCTACAGACCCTCACAGATAAACCATCCTGTCCCATTAAAGAAATACAAATGTATCAGCATCTCTGACCGTGACTCTGTCTGGCTGACATGACATTTTCTATTCCTCCTGAAAACAGAGGATACTTCTATGGACTTCCAGATTCCACAATCTCCATATCTTGCCTCAGCTTCTTGAATCATTCATTTTATTTATTTTATTATTCATTTGATCATTCGTCTTGTATGTATTTTTGCCTCACTAAACATATCATACACCCTTTAAACCTTCAGAGGTCTATTTTGCCTGTCATTTCCCCAAGACAATTTTATATAAAATATTTATCAATTTGTAATTTATACAAATGAATTAAATTTTTTTTGTTTTGCATTTTGATTCAAATTTCTATCCTAATAAACTTCCTACTACAGTTCTGAAATGTAGTAATTTCTAGCAACGTTATACTGTTTTATCACATCATTTGTAAGAACGTTTTTGACATGTGCAGACTTGTCTTCCTACACTACTATTCAAAAGTTTAGTCAAGATTTTTTATGCTTTTTAAGATTTTTAAGGCTGCATTTATTTGATTAGAAATACGGTAAAAATAGTACTATTGTGCAATACTACTATAATTTAAAATAACCATTTTCTGTATTCATATATTTTAAAAAGTCATTCATTTCTGGCAAAGTTGAATTTTCAGCAGCCATCACATCATTCAGAAATCATTCTAATATGATTTGGTGCTCAAGAAACATTCCTTCTTTTTAGCAATGTTGAAAACAGTTGCGCTGCTTAATATGTTTGTGGAAAACATTTTTTTCAGGATTCTTTGATAAACATAAATCTTTTCTACCACTATAAATGTCTTTAACGTCACTTTTGATAAATTCAATGCATCCTTGCTTAATAAAAGTACTAATTTCTTACAAAAAACAACTTTTGACCCAAAACTTTTGAATGTTAATACAAGTCTTTACATATCAAATAACTAGTCCATAAAACTACTAGATACAATTTCATTAAATTCTTTTATTTAAAAACATCCAGTCATATTGATTTACAGATTAAAAGAGGAAGCAGGTATAGTGTATTTAAATACAGTGTGCCAGATTATTTCCCTAGCTTGACTTTGATAGCGACACAACACTGAACATATAGAGGCAAAATAGAGTGAACTGGGTATCTGTTCCTTCTCTCTCACACACACACACACACTCTCTCTCTCTCACACAAATGCCTGAAGCTTTTGCAGTAGGTAGTGATTACAGCAGCGCTGTTCAGACAAGTCAAAGTTCATGGGAACATATTTCAACTATACTGAAACGTCCACTCTTTTCTTTATAATCTACACTAGTGCCAAACCTGACCAAAAAGAAAGTAAAAGCCTTTTTGGCAAACCACAGAAAAGTATGTGCTACCAAAAATGACAATTCTGACAAGATTTACTCAAGTCTCATGTTGTTACAAACCTGAATGACTCCTTTCTCCTGCGGAACACAAAATATATTTCGAAGAACCATTTTTGTCCATACAATATGAATAAAAGTTCAAAAACCGACATCATACAGGTTTGGAATGAGATGAGAGTGAGTAAATGATTTTGTGCTAACTATCCCTTTAACTATCTTTCTGCTAGATACTGTTTAAACTAACTTTTTGGAAAGGTCAAAGCTGGTCAGTGACTTTGGATTATCAGGAATGCTGGAGAAGGGATTTCCTTTAGTGCTCTTCAGCATGCAAGCTTCCTTTATCGGTGAGTAAATAAACAACACTCCCAATTTGGAATCAGAATGACGTTCATTTTTTTAACTCTTACTAGTCGTCCTCTCTATTTTTACCCTCATACTGGACATATCAGATATGGAACTAAGTTTTACGTGCTTATTCTCTCATCTAGCATCTACGTCAATGCAAGTGTAATATTCAGCATTTCTGTTGTCACTCATTATCGGTTCGGTGAGTAAATAAACAACACTCCCAATTTGGAATCAGAATGACGTTCATTTTTTTAACTCTTACTAGTCCTCTCTATTTTTACCCTCATACTGGACATATCAGATATGGAACTAAGTTTTACGTGCTTATTCTCTCATCTAGCATCTACGTCAATGCAAGTGTAATATTCAGCATTTCTGTTGTCACTCATTATCGGTTATTTTCCCTGCATGAGCAGAAATTGCCCCACTCTCTGCTGCCTGACCGCTCTTATTTGACTATGAAATTAGCTCCTGGTACCTCTGTTTGTTTTCCAAGTGCTAACAGTGACTCTTTTGTCCGTTTAGCTTCATTCATTTGTTTGCCCGTTCCTGTGTAAAGTTATGACTTGAGCCTCACTAACAGCTACTCTGCTATATAATGACCATCTTCTCCTGACATATATGAAATCATTTTAAAATAAAAGAAAGACAAAAAAATCTGGTTCTTTGTGAAAACATTACACTGCATTTCCTTCTACACAAAATGAACCAACAACTCCAATCTGCAACCTCTATGCATCAAAATTACTTTAAAATAAAAAATGGAAATGAATTTGAACATGAAATTAAAATGTCTACATTTTTTAAAATAAAAAAACTACAATGCTACAATTTAATCATCAAAAAATGTCATAATACATTGAATGAAAAAACAAGGTAACACTATTTTACAGTTTACATGTACTTACTATAGTAATAACAGTAAATTATGCATAATTACAAGCAACTTACCCTAAACCAAACCTAATCCTATTCCTATAGTAAGTATTATGTTATTAATAGATATTCAGTACTTAATTGTATTATTACACATAAACAAGGACACCTTAAAATAAACCTAAAAAATAAATATTCCAATATAGATAAATAAAAACTCTCTAACATCAGCCATTAATGGATAGGGTACCGATATATCTAGTAAAAATGCATGTGCTAATCTCAGAAATGATGCACTTACTTTTCATCCAAATATTTATTTGACACCGATTTAAAAACAGTATTTTGGTACATCATAAAAAGCATTATTAAATGCTGTCATGTTCACAACATCTAGCTGAACTCGGCCACTGGTGATCTATGAGAAGGGTCACATGTCATATTGCACTGTGCCAATTTTCACATTCAACCAATGGCAATGAATTGTGTACTAAGGGCTCATGTCGTTCATGCTCAATAACTGCACTACATTTGACCACAAAAAAACATGTACAAATTCACAACGCTCTCTAGCACCCTAAAGGCAAACAAGAAATGCTGTGCAAAAGGCAGTTTAAAATTCACATGGTTTACATTAGCATTTACAAAGGAAGAGAGAAATGTCTGGTGTGGCTGAACTGAATGTCTTTCAGTAGTATCAGCAGTCAGTGTGTATAAGCTCAATGCGGCACTTGTGAAACAGCAGCTGCAAACCAACTGACACGTCATCACTCCTCAGAGTTCAATTACTTTTACATTTGCAAATATTTACAAATAATAAGCACATTTTGCAAACTTCGAGTGAAACCAATGATGACCCTGACAAGCCCACTAGAAAGAGACAGACATGGCACTTCACACTTTGATTTAGCTAAGTAAAAGAAATTCATTTGAAATAATGACTAGGACATAATCAGCCGTTCCACTTACGCTTGAATAAACAAAGTAATTGTTCAAAATGTAGCACACCACTGACAATGATCTTTCAAATAAAGAGTTAAAACACCATATGTCAAGATGTAAACAGTCTCTTTCTACACACACACACACGCGTTGCTCGATCAGTGCTGACCCTAAATCAGCATGAGTGCCGCCCTCAGAGCCCTAGTGTCTCAAGTTTCAAGGAGATGATGCAAGTATTCACTTCCTGTGTCAGAAGCGCTTTCCCTCTGGAGGTGTTGCAACCATCACCTCCTTACCTCCAAAGTCCCAGTAGGCAGTCATGTGGAAGGCCATGTTGGACAGCACCACCAGATACTCACACAAAGCAAACAACGTGTAAACTGCCATAGAGAGACAACAGAAATTACTGAAGTGTGGTAAATCAATGTAATTTAAATTGCAAAATAAATACTTCAATTAAAAGAATAATTCACCCTAAAATAAAAATGTACTCACCCTCAGGACATCCAAGTAGTAGATGATATAGATGTAGATTTTTATATTCGGAACAGATTTGGTGAAATTTATTATTACATCACTTGCTCAGCAATGGATCCTCTGCAGTGAATGGGTGCCATCAGAATGAGAGTCCAAACAGCTGAACAAAACATCACAATAATCCACAAGTAATCCACACAACTCCATTCAATCAAATCTTGTGAAGTGTTTGGAATAAACAAATTCATCATTTTAAACTTGCTTTCAAGCTCAAATACAAGTCCTCTATCCATACCATTGTTTTCTCCAATGAAAAAAAAAAAAGGCCTCATCTGAATCAGAAGAGCAATTTGCACTGATCAACAGGGAATGGACTTTTTCATTGGAGGAAGTATTATTATAGATTATGGACTGGTATTTTCAGAAATCAAAGGTTTAAAGTTAAAATGCCTTAAAGTTAAAATCATGAATTTGTTTTTTGCAAACACACAGCTTTTTAAGATGTTAACTGATGGACTGGAGTCGTGTTGACTACTTGTGGATTATTGAGATGTTTTTATCAGCTGTTTGGACTCTCATTCTGACGGCACCCATTCACTGCAGATGATCCATTGGTGAGCAAGTGATGTAATGCTAAATTTCTCCAAATCTGTTCTGATGAAGAAACAAACTCATCTACATCTTGGATGGACTGAGTGTGAGCACATTGTCAGCAATTTTTCATTTTTGGGTACAACATAACAAAAAGGATATTCAATTCCATTCAACAATGGAAAAGGTTAACAAAGCCTAACATAGGATAATAATGATTACAAATGTAGACTACCATTCAAAAGCTTGGGTTTTATGTTTTATTGTATTTTTTAAAAGAAATGAATACCTTTATTCAGCAAGGATGCATTAATTTGATAAAAAATAACATCAAATAATTGCTGTTCTTTTGAACTTTCTATTCTTCAACGAAACTTGAAAAAAATGATCACGGTTTCCACAAAAATATAAAGCAGCACAACAATTTTCAAGATTGGTAATAAAAATAAATGTTTCTTCAGCAGCAAATCAGCTTATTAGAATGATTTCTGAAGGATCATGTGACACTGAAGACTGGAGTAATGATGCTGAAAATTCAGCTTTGCTTCACAGGAATAAATTACATTTTAAAATATATTCAAAAATTAAAAGGGGATTTTTTTAAATTGTAATAATTTTTCACAATATTACTGTTTTTACTGTATTTTTGAGCAAATAAATGCAGCCTTGGTGAACATAAGGGACTTCTTTAAACACATATTGAACCCAGAACGAGACGTTTTAGGGGGGCGTGGCAGAGTCTTAACTTTGATAAAGAATATCTCTTTGGTTTTGAGACTTTAGTCTTTGCAACTTCAGGGATCTTATCTATGCACAATCAGCTTGTAACTCTCCAAAGAGAAAGGAAAACTTTAAATCGCATCATATGACCCCTTTAACATCATACTGGTTTGCAACAACATAAAGGTTATTAACTAATCACAATTTTTTTGGGTGAACTATCCCTTCCAGAACTTCAAAAACAGGTAATCAATTATAATTGGTAAGAATTTGTGAGTTCATGTTGAGGATGTAAAAATCACCAAAATGGAACATGTGTTGAGTGGAACATGGGTGGGGTGAATGACAGAGAACAGCGAAGACGTTGCACTCACTTCCTGTTTCACAGTAAGTGTTGTGCCGCTTGTAGAAGTAGGCAGCCAACAGACAGAAGAAACCGTTGAAGAGGAAGAGGTGGAACTTCTGGCGGTATGACATCATCTCCTGATGTCAAAGTGGGTTTGATGCAGTAAAGAAAGAGAAGAAAGAAGAGAAAAAGGAGAAAGAAGACACACAATGTCATCAGTTCTCTTCTGCAACGTGATGTGGGGCAAGCAGGTGGGACGAGGTTCTGTGAGAGCACAGCAACCACTTCCCCCGAGGCACACAAACCCAGCTGCACTTTCACAGCAATAGAAATAAAAAGCTCCACTGTGGTCACTGTCACGTCAACTCCCATGATTCTCACCCAGCAGCACAAGCAACACCTTTTATTAGAGCTGTGCTCGTGGTGTCAAGATCACTGGGGTGTTAAGAATATATCTGAATAATCACTATAAGTGAATGTATCCGCTCAATCTAAAAATGGTCATACATGCTCGTTTCATCCAATCAGAAAAGGATTTGCATGTATGGATTGTTTAAAAGCTAAACTTAAGCTAAAAATTACAACCTGTCCAAGTAGGTACTACTATTGATTTGAAACATACTTCACGACTTTTTAAACAAGTATGTTCTTTATAGTATGAATGAAATCCAGGCATACCACAACTACCACGTTATTACTGCCATTCAAGTGAAGTATGTATATTTGGATGCAGCATTTGTCTTCCATAAGAGCATTTTTTAATGCAAATCAACAACTAGTTCAAATAAATTGATAGATACAACAAAAAATTAATTAAAATAAACACCCAATTCACATTACATTTTTCTAACAGGGCTTACAATATAATTCACTATTTTTGTATTATTTATTCAAATTTAAAACCGGAGCAGGGCAGCTGACAAATACATTTATAGTTATAGATTTAATGCATATTACATATGAGATTGGCTTATACTGCCCTCTGCTGGTCTGTTTATAACAGTTGTTGGCAAATAAGTACATGCCCAGAATACAGAGAAGTCGGTTCAGTTCAATTCATTTTTATTTATTTCACGAAGGCAGTTTGGTTGCAGCATACAAGCATATCACATAAGAAAACATATACACACACACTACAGAAAACAAACGCACAACCATCCTAAAAAGTATTTACCTTAAAGGGATTGTTCACCCAAAAATGAAAATTTGATGTTTATCTGCTTACCCTCAGGGCATCTAAAATGTAGGTGACTTTGTTTCTTCAGTAGAACACAAACAAAGATTTTTAACTCAAACCGTTGCAGTCTGTCAGTCTTATAATGCAAGTGGATGGGAATCACGGCTTTGAGAGTCAAAAAACATACACAAACAAAACCAAATTAAACCCTGCGGCTCGTGACGATACATTGATGTGTAAAGACATGAAACGATCAGTCTGCGCAAGAAACTGAACAGTATTTATATCGTTTTTTTACCTGTGATTTTCACCACAATGTCCAAACTGTCTGTCCTGAGCGCGTCCTCCTGAGCATGTTCTCAACAGCCGGCGCCTGACCTGTCGTCGTTGTCGTTGTCGTCTTCTTCTTCTTGCTTTACGGCAGATCGCAGACTTATAAGCATTACCGCCACCTATCTCTCAAATGGACCATTGACACTCCTAATTGAGATTGTAGATAGAGTGTCAATGGTCCATTTGAGAGATAGGTGGCGGTAATGCACTTATAAGTCTGCGATCCGCCATAAAGCAAGAAGAAGAAGACGCGTCAGGTGCCGGCTATTGAGAACGCGCTCAGGACAGACAGTTCGGACATTGCGGTGAAAATCAGAGGTAAAAAACAATATAAATACTGTTCAGTTTTTTGCACAGACCGATCGTTTTGTGTCTTTACACATCAATGTATCATCACGAGCCGCAGGGTTTAATTTGGTTTTGTTTGTGTTTTTTTGACTCCCAAAGCCGTGAGTCCCATCCACTTACATTATAAGACTGACAGACTGCAACGGTTTGAGTTAAAAATCTTTGTTTGTGTTCTACTGAAGAAACAAAGTCACCTACATCTTGGATGCCCTTGGGGTAAGCAGATAAACATCAAATTTTCATTTTTGGGTGAACTATCTCTTTAAATTGAACAACTTTACAGCTGAGGGGATAAATGAATGTCTTTTACTAATAGGAGTTCTATACCGAATGCCAGAAGAAAGGAGGTGAAAGTCAATTACCTCTGCACTGAGGGAATACTTCGCAATCAAGGACCACAGCTTGCAGGTGCACAACATGTGGACCAGGGAGCTGCTAATAAACAAGACGAAGCCGCTCTTATGGACACCTGTGGACCATATATACATACACAGCATTAAAAACCAAACGGACATGCACAAAATGCTTGTTTTACAGGTAAAATGAATCAAAATTCACAAAAAAAACCCTGAAAATATATTTTGCATTAAAAAATGAAACCTGTTTTTCCATAGCAACATTTTCTTGACAATTTATGCATGTTTTATTATTCTGTAGTGTAATAAAGAAAATGATCATGTCCAAACACAACATTCTTTTTTTATTTGATTTTATTATTATTTAAATGAATATAAATTAAATGTTGGTGTTAATATACACTTCCGTTCAAAGGTTTGTGGTCAGTAAGGTTTTCTTTTAAAAAGAAATTAACACTTATATTTAGCAAGAACACAGTAAATTGATCAAAAGTGACAGTAAAGACATTTAAAAAAGATTTCCTTATCAAATAATCGCTGTTCCTTGTAAAATGTATCATGGTTTCCACAAAAATATTAAACAGCACAACTGTTTTTCACATTGATAACAATGAGAAATGCTTCTTGAGCAGCAAATCAGCATATTCAAACGATTTCTGAAGGATCATGTGACACTGAAGACTGGAGTGATGACTGCTGTAAATTCAGTTTTGCCATTACAACAATATATTTCATTAAAATACATCAAAATAGAAAACGGTTACTTTAAATTCCTTGTAGTACAATCAATACTACTATAATGCATACTTAAAATTATGCTTTATAAACACTTTTCAATGTAAGTGATAATTCACTTTTTGTATTACAGTAATGAGAGTTTTGGACTACAATACACAACTGAGAACTGGGTGGAGAGAGGGTTTCTTTAAATGAAAAAAAAAATCATAATCCCATCATATAATTACAACTGAGGTGTTTAAAAGCTTCCTTTTTTGCATCTCCAATCAATTACAAACAAGCTACATTTAACTAACTGATAAAAATATAATAAAAAGCACATTTAAGCGATCCAGCAAGAGCCCTCAGCATCCCTGCATTTGCATGCATGTTCAAACACAACTCAAGGCTTCAGTCCAAAAAGGCACTTACTGTAGGTCTCATTGGAGGAGACGTAGGTGAGCAGAAGCAGCCCTACATTTTCACTTAAAGCTAAGAGGAATGTGAGGCCACTCAAAAGCTGCTCCATCAGCCTCTTGGAAAAGCGTCCGCGGTAAAAGCTCAAATATGCTGCTGCCACCAGGAAGCGCGGGGCAGAATGCAGGCCGATGCTGAAGCGCCAGATGTAGCGCTCTGGTGTCAGACTAATGGCCGCGCTGATGGATGGGAGGTAGTTAGGAACCTGTGAAGGATTTTTAAAAGATCTTCATTACCATGTCACTGCAAGTTTGGCACAGGCAAGTGCAAAGCTGAAGCTTTTCTTCAGAAAACATCTAGTTTGGATTTACTGTTGAGAACGTGCTGGGTGAAACAGGGACGTCCGAAACACTGTTACAAATACAAGCCATTAATCCTTCAGAACTGGGAGCAAAAATAAATAAATTAAATAAAAATAAAGTGATGTGAAAAAGTGTTGGACCCCTTCCTGATTTCTTATTTTTTTGGCATGTTTGTCGCACTTTAATGTTTCAGATCATCAAACTAATTTAAATATTAGTCAAAGATAACACAAGTGAACACAACATGCAGTTGTTAAATGAAGGTTTTTATTATTAAGAGAAAACAAAATCCAAAACTACATGGCCCTGTGTGAAGAAGTGTTTGCCCCCCTGTTAAAACTGTGGTTTATCACACCTGAGTTCAATTTCTCTAGCCACACTCAGGCCTGATTACTGCCACCCCTGTTCGCAATCAAGAAATCTCTTAAATAGGACCTGCCTGACAAAGTGAAGTAGACCAAAAGATCCTCAAAAGCTAGACATCATGCCGAGATCCAAAGAAATTCAGAAACAAATGAGAAAGAAAGTAATTGAGATCTATCAGTCTGGAAAAGGTTATAAAGCCATTTCTAAAGCTTTTGAGGATCTTTTGGTCTACTTCACTTTGTCAGGCAGGTCCTATTTAAGAGAAGTAGACCAAAAGATCCTCAAAAGCTAGACATCATGCCGAGATCCAAAGAAATTCAGAAACAAATGAGAAAGAAAGTAATTGAGATCTATCAGTCTGGAAAAGGTTATAAAGCCATTTCTAAAGCTTTTGAGGATCTTTTGGTCTACTTCACTTTGTCAGGCAGGTCCTATTTAAGAGAAGTAGACCAAAAGATCCTCAAAAGCTAGACATCATGCCGAGATCCAAAGAAATTCAGAAACAAATGAGAAAGAAAGTAATTGAGATCTATCAGTCTGGAAAAGGTTATAAAGCCATTTCTAAAGCTTTTGAGGATCTTTTGGTCTACTTCACTTTGTCAGGCAGGTCCTATTTAAGAGAAGTAGACCAAAAGATCCTCAAAAGCTAGACATCATGCCGAGATCCAAAGAAATTCAGAAACAAATGAGAAAGAAAGTAATTGAGATCTATCAGTCTGGAAAAGGTTATAAAGCCATTTCTAAAGCTTTTGAGGATCTTTTGGTCTACTTCACTTTGTCAGGCAGGTCCTATTTAAGAGAAGTAGACCAAAAGATCCTCAAAAGCTAGACATCATGCCGAGATCCAAAGAAATTCAGAAACAAATGAGAAAGAAAGTAATTGAGATCTATCAGTCTGGAAAAGGTTATAAAGCCATTTCTAAAGCTTTTGAGGATCTTTTGGTCTACTTCACTTTGTCAGGCAGGTCCTATTTAAGAGATTTCTTGATTGCGAACAGGGGTGGCAGTAATCAGGCCTGAGTGTGGCTAGAGAAATTGAACTCAGGTGTGATAAACCACAGTTTTAACAGGGGGGCAAACACTTCTTCACACAGGGCCATGTAGTTTTGGATTTTGTTTTCTCTTAATAATAAAAACCTTCATTTAACAACTGCATGTTGTGTTCACTTGTGTTATCTTTGACTAATATTTAAATTAGTTTGATGATCTGAAACATTAAAGTGTGACAACCAAGCAAAAAAAAAAAAATCAGGAAGGGGGCCAACACTTTTTCACACCACTGTATGTACGCATCAAGGAATTATTTTGGATTCATCTGTTAAACATGTTAAGATGTAATAAGATTAATAAAACCAGAAATCTCATTATCCCACAAAATGTGTTTTTCTTTCAATCTGTATGTCAAAAATTGACAGATTAAAAAATAAATGTGACAAATGACCATTATAAATATTAACAAATCTAACATGCTTTTCAATTAATTAATTAACTGAGACTACAGAACCGTGTTTAGACTGATTCCATCTACTGAATAAATTGCCACCAATGTCAAAATATTAGTGTTGACAAAATTACCATATTTTGCACATGCATATCACACATGTATTAACAAATTCCAATCAATTTCTTCACAATTTGCATAATAAATATCATGGTTGTTGTTACACATAATTGCTTGTAATGAAAGATTTCTCTTTAAAAATAAATGTGATATATATATATATACACACACATACACATACAGGTGCATCTCAGTAAATTAGAATGTCGTGGAAAAGTTCATTTATTTCAGTAATTCAACTCAAATTGTGAAACTCGTGTATTAAATAAATTCAATGCACACAGACTGAAGTAGTTTAAGTCTTTGGTTCTTTTAATTGTGATAATTTTGGCTCACATTTAACAAAAACCCACCAATTCACTATCTCAATAAATTAGAATATGGTGACATGCCAATCAGCTAATCAACTCAAAACACCTGCAAAGGTTTCCTGAGCCTTCAAAATGGTCTCTCAGTTTGGTTCACTAGGCTACACAATCATGGGGAAGACTGCTGATCTGACAGTTGTCAAGAAGACAATCTTTGACACCCTTCACAAGGAGGGTAAGCCACAAACATTCACTGCCAAAGAAGCTGGCTGTTCACAGAGTGCTGTATCCAAGCATGTTAACAGAAAGTTGAGTGGAAGGAAAAAGTATGGAAGAAAAAGATGCACAACCAACCGAAAGAACCGCA